GCCCTGGTAAAACATGATATAAATACTGTTCGGTTTCTGGCACAAACCGATCGTTTCGTGTGTTAGGACATCAATGTGTCGTCACGAGCCGCAGGGTTTAATTTGGATTTGTCTGTGCATGTTTTTTTTACTCTCATAGATTTTGTTACCATTGCCATGCATTATACGACTGATAGACTGCAACGGCTGGAGTTAAAAATCATCAAATGTGTTCTACTGAAGAAACAAAGTCACCTACATCTTGGATGCCCTGGGGGTAAGCAGATAAACATCAAATTTTCATTTTTGGGTGAACTATCCCTTTAATAACGGTATTCCTGCATGATCTGTGAAGTTTAAAATTGGGCTTTCTAACATATCCTCTAACATATCCTTTCTGCTGAATCCTTACTTTAACCCTGTAAGTGTTAAGCATTTCTATGTTTATCAATAAGATAACGTAACTATTCTATTTTGTTTAAAAAAAAAAAAAACTCCTAGGCCCTTCTTCAGATCTTTGCCACTCATTGCACTAGACCGTGCTGGAAAAAAGTTATCAAAATAATTTGTATCTGTTGAGTGGTTTAGCAGATGCGATGCACAAAGTCCAAACTTATCAAAACTTTGCACGTATGGAGAATAAGTCATTCTGAGGAAACATGGCTTAGTTCAGGGGTCTCCAAACTGGGTCCTGGAGGGCCGGTGTCCTGCAGAGTTCAGCTCTAACTCGCCTCAACACACCTGCCTGAACGTTTCTAGTACACTAGTAAGAGCTTGATTAGCTGGTTCAGGTGTGTTTGAGCTGAACTCTGCAGGACACTGGCCCTCCAGAACCCAGTTTGGAGACCCCTGGCTTAGTTTCATGAATTTCAATGGGAATGATCATATTACTACTGTTATCCACCAGAGGGAGCCACAGGAAATTATTTAATAGATTCAAGTAGCACACAATGCATATAAAATCATTCTACTTTATTATATAGTTTAGTTTAACATAATCGGTTTGCTAAGAAATCTGTGATCTCCAAAAGGCTTAAAGGCCATTAAATGTTATCTTAATTTTTTTATAAATCCTTATGATGTTAAAAACATATCTAGTTTCCAGACTCATCTGCTACTGTCCAGTTAAAACAAAGAGACAATATTATTTGTGGCTTTTAACATAAGGCTATTTGTCTGTGTTTTTACTGAGTAGGTCTTATATGTTTAATAATTTTCAGCTTTGTGATCTTCCCAACTGTAGTAGTGATCGTTAAGAAATATATATTTATGTTCATAGGGCGTATTCTCATTTAAAGTAAAACTATGACACTGCATTGGATTTAAAGATCAAACCCGCCCTGATAGATATTGATCGGAGTAAACAGCCAGCCCTTCCTATCCATACACGCTTACCTTTGGACATGTCTCTGTTATTCTTTCCTGTAAAATGACAAACAAAACAGATTAACCGCGATGCATCGACTGAAAAGAAAGTGAAATGAAAAGAAAACACTTAATGTGAGCGCACAAGGCATGTAAAAAAGCCATTTACCACGTTTCCTCCGGTCTGAGCATCTTCTGAGCCAGTGTGTAACGCGCTATCACTTTAAGAACAAACATGCGTTATTTCGAGAGACTCGAAATCTGAAATATAATACAACTAGTCTCTATCGTCAGATTAAAGATGGCATTCCGTTATTCAGCGTAGCGCTCTTGACGCCCCACCGGCTCCTGTGACGCGACGCGACGCCCTGCTTCCGGCAATTAGGCTAATTGTATTATGAATTATGCATTTATATATGTATGTGTGTGTGTGTGACCCTGGACCACAAAAACAATCTTAAGTGTCATTTAAAAAAAAAAAAAGAGATGTATACATCATCTGAGAGCTGAATAAATAATCTTTCCATTGATGTATGGTTTGTTATGATAGGACAATATTTGGCTGATATACAACTATTTGAAAATCTGGAATCTGAGGGTGCAAAAACATCAAAATATTGAGAAAATCATCTTTAAAGTTGTTCAAATGAAGTTCTTAGCAATGCATATTACTAATCAAAAATTAAGTTTTAATATATTTACAGTAGGAAATTTACAAAATATCTTCATGGCATTGGCATAAAAGAAAAATCAATAATTTTGACCCATACAATGTATTGTTGGCTATTGCTACAAATATACCCCAGCGACTTAAGACTGCTTTTGTGCTCCAGGGTCATATATATTATACATACACACACACACATATATAAATTACAGCTATATAACATAATTAGCACATTGACCCATACAATGTATTGTTGGCTATTGCTACAAATATACCCCAGCGACTTAAGACTGCTTTTGTGCTCCAGGGTCATATATATTATATATACACACACACACATATATAAATTACAGCTATATAACATAATTAGCACAGTTTTTAATGATATATATATATATACTTTTTTTTTTTCATAGTTAAATCTCAATATAATGTTCTCGTAAAGCTTGTACACCAGCCATTCTTAGTAACTCACCTCTGGTTCTTTTTATGGTTTGATTTAATGTTCGTGCACCTTCACTTCCACAAATGACTTCCTTAGCAGATTAACAGCAAAGCAACGTTTGTTTTCAAATAATTCAATTCTCTTCTTGGCCAAATGCATTTAAAATAGTCATATATGAACTATAAAGCATGTTTCAAGAATGTGAACACAAAATAATGCCAAAGCAGAGCCTAGTATTCTGAAATATAAATGATTTCAAGATATCAATGAAATCAGTACACAGAAGAGAGATCCGAGGGTAATCAGAATGGCATAATGTCACCAAAATGATTTTTTTTTTATTCAATGAAATGTTCATATATATATATAAAGTTATTAAAAACATCCTTGAAAAGCAAAATCAGGAAAGTGAAATAAAACCTATTTTTGTTAAGAATCTATGTTGAGCTGCAAAGCTAAAAACCGCTTTAATCTAGAGAACTACATCTTGAAATTCAAAAGAACGCGTGTCTTCAAGTAATTTCTCCACCAGTTCATTCATCAAGTGACTTTACTTTTCTCAAAGCACAGAAATTAATACAAATGGATGCAAATAAATAAATGAGGTTGTGACTGGTTCTGGCCCCGGTTAAGCTAACGTCTAACTTTCAGTCACGGATTGTAACAGAGATTTGGTGAGTAGAACAGACTGTGAAAACAGAAGCTCATTTCAGGGAGGACTTGATGAAGGCTGGCTGGAATCCGCAGCTCTGGCAAGTGTCTTTGGGTCAGATGAAGGAGGGAGCGGCTCCTCGTTCAGTCGCGGTGAAGACCTTACAAAGGAACGTGGCTGAACAGATACGACACGGACTCGCCGTTGTGGGTCCTGCGGATGGCCTCGGCGAGGATCATGGAAATGTCGATGACCTGCAGAGATCAGTGAACCGCACAATGAAAACCTGCATGATACAATCCCTAAAGTATTTGAAAATGGAACATAAGACACAGCCAGAACACCTCTCTGTTACAGGACTGTAATAAAGGGTTATAAGACATTTGATTTTCTTCTCCTCTAAACCACTAGATTGTTTTTTGGCTGATTCTTGACGTGAACACAGACATCAAAGCAAAGGTAATTCTGCGCTAATGTGATCTAATATTTGACCTTGGACCACAAAACCAGTCATAAGGGACCATTTTTTTAAATTGAGATTTATGCATCAGCTGAAAGCTGAATAAATCAGCTTTCCATTGATGTATGGTTTGTTAGGATCTGACAATATTTGGTCGAGATACAACTATTTGAAAATCTGAGGGTGCAAAAAAAAAATCTAAATATTGAGAAAATCATCTTTAAAGTTGTCCAAATTAAGTTCTTAGCAATGCATATTACTAATCAGAAATTACGTTTTGATATATTTACAGTAGGAAATTTACTAAATATCTTCATGGAACATGATCTTTACTTAATATCCTACTGATTTTTGGCATAAAAGAAAAATCTATAATTTTGACCCATACAATGTATTGTTGGCTGTTGCTACAAATATACCCCAGCGACTTAAGCCTGCTTTTGTGCTGCAGGGTCACATATTTCATGCATTTTAAAATGGTATAGATTGATGCAGCAAATAAGCACTGATAAAGTTATTGACTATATTTTCAGACGAATGTCGTTAATGATTTGCAGTTTTGTTCAAGATAATTAAATCGCCAGTTTTTCAAAAACGGAAGAGTATGTAAAAGTAGGTATTTGGAGTAAAAAGCGCCCCAGCTGTTGAAGCTAAAGGAAAATAATTAACATGATAATGAATAGCTGGCTGACATCATTAAATTTGTCATATTTATTAAACTGGGCATCCACTTAGAAACAATTACCATTTTTATAATGATAAACAACAATCATAATATATATTTCATATTTATATATCGTTACTACTATGCCATGCTAAATCCATGTTCAAATTACGGGATCTCCTTTCTATATATTTTTTCTATATATACACACGCGTGTTTTTTTAATCAAAATAAACAGAAAATCGTACAAACTTTGCTAAAGCGATGTGTGAAACAAGTATTAACGCATTGCTTCAGCTGAAGTATCTGCCTTTTACTCCTCACCACCTCATGCATTATAAGATTTCTAAACAAAACGAACCACTTTTATGCTCCCAAAAAAAAAATGTTCTGCAATAATTCACTGCGGGAGTAATGATAAGCACGTTACCTCTTTTGTACCCTACCTATAATGCATCTGTAGTTCTGCTTGCCCTTTTTTTAATTTTTTTTGAATGGTTTGGATAAAATCTGCTTTTGCTGTTATTGACCTATATTCTAATGTTTTGATAAAAGAACGAACACTCTGCTGATTCACTACATTTCCAGTTGGGCTACATGACAAACCTGTATTTTGGGACAATGCTTCATCTTCTCCTCCTGAGGAATTGTGTTGGTCACAACTACGGCTTCAAAGCAGGCGTTGTTGATGCGTGAAATGGCTGGTCCAGAGAAGATGCCATGAGTGAGGATAGCATACACTTTAACCGCTCCTGCTGATATTAACCTGAACACACACACAAAGAGCTTTACGGTTGATGAAGCACTCAGTGTTCGTGCTATTATTTTCATTAGCTTCTCACTTATCAACAGCGTGGCAGACGGTGCCGCAGGTGTCTGCCATATCATCCACCAATATGGCCACCCGGTCTTTCACATCTCCCACCAGAACCATGCGGTCCACCTCGTTGGCCTTCTTCCTTTCTTTGTGAATCAGGGCAAAGTCAACATTTAGCCTGTCTGCAATGGAGGTCACCCTGTCAATGGAAACAACACAGCTCAGGGATCAGCCACGACACACACTAAACAGGCAGTGAAGCGGACGCCTCCAGACCTCTTGGCTCCTCCAGCGTCAGGAGACACGATCGTGCAGTTCTTCCACTCGGGGATGTTCTCCTTAATCCACTTCAAAACGGCAGGCTCTGCATATAAGTTGTCCACAGGAATGTCAAAGAAACCCTAAAAAGGAGAAAAGCAAATTCATGCATTACCAAGAACTGTCTTCTTGCAGCTCAAACAGTGGCACCAGCAACACCAAGGTCATCGGAAAGCAGCAAACTAATAAAATGTATCCTCTCAGTGCAATGAAAGTTGCTTTGGATGAAAGAAAGTGTCCAGCAAATGCATGAATGTAAATGTAAATTGTAGGCTTCGTGATTGCTGAATAACAATATGTATGCATAATATATCGACCACCATATCGGTATTGGCTGATAAATGCACATTTTTCTTGTTATTGATGTACTTGCATATCAATGCATTTTGATTCTTTACACATGACTTAAGCATTATTTGATTTATTTCTTTGATAAAGAAAGTTGGTAGTAGGTAATCATTTTAAAGCTTACACTGGTTCAGACGAGGCTGCTGTACTGTATATGTTTGATTTACGTTGAAGTGCTTGGGACAGGGCTTTTAATGGTGAGACTGGGCTCACACAAATTATATAAAAATTTGGATTTAGATTTATGGGCCAACATATCAGTTATCGGCTTTCAAATATAAAGAATTATCGGTTATCGGTATTCGCCGATAAGTTTTCATATCAGTGCATCCTTGATATGTAGGTAGAAATTTTTATTTTTTTCCCCATTATTCTCACTCTACACCAAAAGCAACAAAAAAACAAGGGAGTCATATTGGCAACACACTCAGCTAATTTGTGCAATTTTTATTTCTTAAACACATTTTTTGTGTGTGTGTGTGTTTTATCACTAAATCCTTTTGAGTGCTATAAAGCCCACCTGTATTTGAGATGCATGCAGATCCATGGTAATGATGTGGTCGGCACCAGATACAGACAGCATATTTGCCACCAGCTTGGCAGAAATGGGCGCCCGACTCTGCAGAAAACAAAGGAGAAGATCAAACATCTTGAGTGAAAAAGCAAAGTGACACACGCTACCGACTTCCTATCAACAGCATGCACAAAAAATCTCCTCCTTTAACGTTCACTGACAGGCAATGGCACAGATTTCATAGCCTTTGCCCCACCTTGTCCTTCTTATCCTGCCGGGCGTAAGGGAAGCATGGGATGACCGCTGTGACTCGGGAGGCCGATGCGATTTTGCAGGCGTTTATCATAATCAGAAGCTCCATAAGGTTATCATTAATTTCTCCACAGCCGCTCTGGACGATGTACACATCCTCTCCACGGACACTCTCTCCAATCTCCACACTGCAGAAGACAAACACAAACAGCTGTATCATGATCTGCATTGCCATGTTTTCTTAAACTGACATCATACTGTAATAAAATCATGTAATCTTGGAGCAACATGTAAATAAAACTCAATCTGAATATTGTAATCACCAAGTAGTGTCTTAGATCAAAGCTACTGTATTATTGCCTTATGAAAGCATCACTGAAACATTATAACACCACTGTATTTGTTTTGTAAAAGTACAGTACGACATGAAAGCAAGCCATGTAATCAAATACTCTTTCTCAGCGTTCACACCGCAAACCGGTGAAGCTCAAGTGAATGATTCAGGGTCACTGCACTCTTTAAGCAGTTCTGTATGTCCATTCCTAAATAAGTGTTAAAAATCACATTAAATGGCAATATTAGTCATAAAATGTAGGTTCACACTAAAGCAAATAAGACATCGCCTCGCCTGGCGTGCAGCTTTCTGGGAGTTGTAGTTTACTCAAACGCACGTGTAGCGCTGGCAGGCGCCATCTGAACTACAACTCCCAGCGGCCCGCGAGAAAAGGCGCTTCAACATGTTAAAGCAGCCACATAAAACACGTTCAGGCAATTTCCAGAAACTCACCACGTCTCTTGGTTGCTAAACTTTTTCGTCACTACTTTTCCTAACTCCAGTCCGAGACGGTCCGCGATCTTCTGAGACAGATCCTGGTGGGAGCTGCCGCTGAAAATCTTGATATTAGGCATGTTTGCGTCCGTTCCACGAAGATCAGAGAGAGTGCACGAGGAAATGGGATGTTTGCGCGTGAGCCGGGAACGAAGAATGGTGAATCGTTCAGATATCTGCTATCCGATGTCGATATTACCGGCAAAGTGTGAGTCGCCACTACCTTTCCGCCATAGTGATTCTGGACGTTACGCAGGTGACGTCACGCACCCGCGTCAGCTGCGGACAGACGTCACTTCTTCCTCTGCTTCTTCTACTGCGATTCATTGGAGGTTCATGGTGTCCTACCGCCACCTACCGGACTCTATCTATCTATCTATCTATCTATCTATCTATCTGTCTGTCTGTCTGTCTGTCTATCATCTGTCTGTATATCTGTCTGTCAGTCTGTCTATCATCTGTCTGTCTGACTGTCTAGTTGTTTGTCTGTCTGTCTATCATCTGTCTGTATATCTGTCTGTCTGTTTGTCTGTCTGCCTGTGGCAGGGGATACAGACCATTACGGACTACAAGCCCCCACCACGCACCTGTGACAGCACCATCTCCCTGCTGAACGAGCTGAACGTCTTCTTCGCTCGCTTTGAGGCACAAAACAGCACCACTGCACAGAAGACTCCACCTCCTCCCGGCGACCAGGTGATGACGCTGTCCCCGGACAGCGTGAGGAGATCCCTCAGCAGGATCAATGCACGCAAAGCTCCGGGTCCTGACAACATTCCTGGGCGTGTACTGAGAGACTGTGCAGTGGAACTCACTGATGTCTTCACAGACATTTTCAACATCTCGCTAAGCCAGGCTGTTGTCCCCACATGCTTCAAAGCCACCACCATCATTCCAGTCCCGAAGAAGTCGTCTCCATCCTGCTTCAATGACTACCGTCCAGTTGCACTTACCCCCATCCTCATGAAGTGCTTTGAACGGCTAGTCATGCACCACATCAAGTCTGCCCTCCCCCCCTCCCTGGACCCCTTCCTACATGTGGAAGAATTGACAATAAAGCAGACTTGACTTGACTTGACTTGACTTGTCTGTCATCTGTTTATATCTGTCTGTCTGTCTATCATCTGTCTGTATATCTGTCTGTCTGTCTGTTTGTCTGTCTGTCTATCATCTGTCTGTCTGTCTATCTGTCTGTCTGTCTATCATCTGTCTGTATATCTGTCTGTCTGTCTGTTTGTCTGTCTGTCTATCATCTGTCTGTCTGTCTATCTGTCTGTCTGTCTATCATCTGTCTGTATATCTGTCTGTCTGTCTGTTTGTCTGTCTGTCTATCATCTGTCTGTCTGTCTATCTGTCTGTCTGTCTATCATCTGTCTGTATATCTGTCTGTCTGTCTGTTTGTCTGTCTGTCTATCATCTGTCTGTCTGTCTATCTGTCTGTCTGTCTATCATCTGTCTGTATATCTGTCTGTCTGTCTGTTTGTCTGTCTGTCTATCATCTGTCTGTCTGTCTATCTGTCTGTCTGTCTATCATCTGTCTGTATATCTGTCTGTCTGTCTGTTTGTCTGTCTGTCTATCATCTGTCTGTCTGTCTATCTGTCTGTCTGTCTATCATCTGTCTGTATATCTGTCTGTCTGTCTGTTTGTCTGTCTGTCTATCATCTGTCTGTCTGTCTATCTGTCTGTCTGTCTATCATCTGTCTGTATATCTGTCTGTCTGTCTGTTTGTCTGTCTGTCTATCATCTGTCTGTCTGTCTATCTGTCTGTCTGTCTATCATCTGTCTGTATATCTGTCTGTCTGTCTGTTTGTCTGTCTGTCTATCATCTGTCTGTCTGTCTATCTGTCTGTCTGTCTATCATCTGTCTGTATATCTGTCTGTCTGTCTGTTTGTCTGTCTGTCTATCATCTGTCTGTCTGTCTATCTGTCTGTCTGTCTATCATCTGTCTGTATATCTGTCTGTCTGTCTGTTTGTCTGTCTGTCTATCATCTGTCTGTCTGTCTATCTGTCTGTCTGTCTATCATCTGTCTGTATATCTGTCTGTCTGTCTGTTTGTCTGTCTGTCTATCATCTGTCTGTCTGTCTATCTGTCTGTCTGTCTATCATCTGTCTGTATATCTGTCTGTCTGTCTGTTTGTCTGTCTGTCTATCATCTGTCTGTCTGTCTATCTGTCTGTCTGTCTATCATCTGTCTGTATATCTGTCTGTCTGTCTGTTTGTCTGTCTGTCTATCATCTGTCTGTCTGTCTATCTGTCTGTCTGTCTATCATCTGTCTGTATATCTGTCTGTCTGTCTGTTTGTCTGTCTGTCTATCATCTGTCTGTCTGTCTATCTGTCTGTCTGTCTATCATCTGTCTGTATATCTGTCTGTCTGTCTGTTTGTCTGTCTGTCTATCATCTGTCTGTCTGTCTATCTGTCTGTCTGTCTATCATCTGTCTGTATATCTGTCTGTCTGTCTGTTTGTCTGTCTGTCTATCATCTGTCTGTCTGTCTATCTGTCTGTCTGTCTATCATCTGTCTGTATATCTGTCTGTCTGTCTGTTTGTCTGTCTGTCTATCATCTGTCTGTCTGTCTATCTGTCTGTCTGTCTATCATCTGTCTGTATATCTGTCTGTCTGTCTGTTTGTCTGTCTGTCTATCATCTGTCTGTCTGTCTATCTGTCTGTCTGTCTATCATCTGTCTGTATATCTGTCTGTCTGTCTGTTTGTCTGTCTGTCTATCATCTGTCTGTCTGTCTATCTGTCTGTCTGTCTATCATCTGTCTGTATATCTGTCTGTCTGTCTGTTTGTCTGTCTGTCTATCATCTGTCTGTCTGTCTATCTGTCTGTCTGTCTATCATCTGTCTGTATATCTGTCTGTCTGTCTGTTTGTCTGTCTGTCTATCATCTGTCTGTCTGTCTATCTGTCTGTCTGTCTATCATCTGTCTGTATATCTGTCTGTCTGTCTGTTTGTCTGTCTGTCTATCATCTGTCTGTCTGTCTATCTGTCTGTCTGTCTATCATCTGTCTGTATATCTGTCTGTCTGTCTGTTTGTCTGTCTGTCTATCATCTGTCTGTCTGTCTATCTGTCTGTCTGTCTATCATCTGTCTGTATATCTGTCTGTCTGTCTGTTTGTCTGTCTGTCTATCATCTGTCTGTCTGTCTATCTGTCTGTCTGTCTATCATCTGTCTGTATATCTGTCTGTCTGTCTGTTTGTCTGTCTGTCTATCATCTGTCTGTCTGTCTATCTGTCTGTCTGTCTATCATCTGTCTGTATATCTGTCTGTCTGTCTGTTTGTCTGTCTGTCTATCATCTGTCTGTCTGTCTATCATCTTTCTGTATATCTGTCTGTCTGTCTATCATCTGTGTATATCTGTCTGTCTGTCTGTCT